GCAAAATTCCTGCAGTATTTATTAAAATAATTAAATAATCTTCTGAAACCACTTAACCTGGTTTTGTAGACGATGCCTCTTAGCAAATACTGAGTGTACACAGAATTCGTATCCTATCAAAATGAAAATTGTGGACTGGTGTTACTTGGTGAGCTGTGTCGCACCTTTTAAAAGTTACAAAGAATATCAGTGGAAGGCAAGAACATCAGCGCGGGGGGGACGGACAGAAGAGAAACCACACCGTTTAAATTTGAAGAATAGCATATCTGACAGCTGAGTGAACGAAAATAATAGGCAACAGAGACATCTGCACCTTGATAAATGTTGGGAGGAATCCCTCGCCTTTGTTTGGGCTATCTGTAGATGTGAGTTCATTACCAAGCAGTTCTGGGTGCATGACTGCCTTTATTTTCAGTAAAGTAATGCTCTTTTAGGGATGTCAGTAGGTAATAACCTTGCCCGTGGAGGGATACAGGATGTGGTATTTTGTAAAATACTTCTAAATTTCTATTTTATTAGTAAAAGGCTTGTAGTTTGTCTCTTTTCAGGGCTTTATTACTGTCTTTTTGGTGGGATGAGGTGGGGGAAGGCACTAAATCTGACAGTTTACTAGAAATAGTGATACGTTTCATGGAACACTATTAAGGAGATTATGTTATCTCCTAGGAACAGAGAATGCTGCGGTCAATGGGAAATCAATTTCTGAGGGTGCTACAGTAAATTTGTCTTGTAACTGGAAACTTTCTAATTGCTTCCCCAAGGGAACAGTAAGCTGAAAACCAGGCAGATGGTTTCTTCCCCATTTTCCTTCTTAGTTCATTCTGTCTAAATTATTTCTAGCTTCCTAGTAACTTTGAGAATTGAAGATTTGCAAATGTTTTAGCACTATCATAGTTGCTCTCAATTGTTCAGTAACTTTGCTGTTCAAAAGCCAGATGTTTTTCTGCAGGTTTTGGGGGAGATTTAAATCTGTCCTCTTTAGACTGAGCCACTGATTTTAAAAAGGGCGCTAGCAATTATTATAAAGGAGAAATTGGTTTTTATTCCATGCTATACAACAGAAGGTTATCTTTTTTTTTTTTTTCTTCAAGCAAGGGCTCAAGGACATGGTTTTTTTTCCATGTTCCATCAGTTCATGGGGACTTTCGTTACTCATGTTATCTGAAAATCATTCTAGTGTCAAAGATATAGCTTAGTTTTTATGGCCTATGATTTTATTTATGATTTACTGTTAAAATTCAATAGGATGGAAAGGCCTGGTGTGAAAAGGTAGTTTAGAAGGAAGGTGTTGCCCCATTTCCTTAATTAGAGCTTTGTGAAATATTTGGTTGGGATGAAGTCTGTGAAGATCAGATGTATTGAGCATTGTCTTTTTTTGTTCTGGAAGTTTGGCTGAATGCAGGTGGTATTTGTTGTGAGTTGACCATGCCTCGACACTAGGTGCCCACCAAAGCTGCTCAATCACTCGCCTGCTCAGATGGACAGGGGAGAGAAAATATATCAAAAGGCTCATGGGTCGAGGTAAGGACAAGGAGAGATCACTCACCAATTACCATCAAGGGCAAAACAGACTCAACTTGGGAAAATTAGTGTAATTTATTACCAATCAAAACAGAGCAAGATAATAAGAAATAAAACCAAATTTTAAAAACACCTTCCTCCCACCCCTCCCTTCTTCCTAGTCTCAAGTTCACTCCCAGTTTTTCTCTGCCTCCTCCCCCCAAGAGGCACAGGGGGACGGGGAATGGGGGTTGTGGTCAGTTCATCACACCTTGTCTCTTCCGCTCCTTCCTCCTCATGCTCTTCTTCTGCTCCAACATGGGGTCCCTCCTACGGAAGACAGTCCTCCACCAACTTCTTCAGCTTGGCTCCTTCCCATGGGTTGCGGTTCTTCACAGACTGCTCCAGCGTGGGCTGCTCTCTCCACAGGTCCACGGGTCCTGCTAAGAGCCTGCTCTAGTGTGGGCTCTCTATGGGGTCACAGCCTCCTTTGGACATCCGCCTGCTCGGTGTGGGGTCCTCCACAGGCTGCAGGTGGAGATCTGCTCCACCGGGGACCTCCATAGGCTGCAGGGGCACAGCTGCCTCACCAGGGGCTGCACCACGGGCTGCAGGGGAATCTCTGTTCCAGCACCTGGACAGCCTCCTCCCCCTCCTTCTTCACTGTCCTTGGTGTCTGCAGAGTTGTTTCTCTCACATATTCTCACTCCTCTTTTCCAGCTGCTGTTGTTTCCTATTTGGTTTTTTGTTTGTTTTGTTTTTTTTCCGCCTTCTTAAATATGTTGTCATAGAGGCACTCCCACCATTGTTGATGGGCTCGGCCTCGGCAAGTGGTGGGTCTGTCTTGGAGCTGGCTGGCACTGGCTCTGTTGGACATGCTTCTAGCAGCTTCTCACAGAAGCCACCCCAATAGCCCCCCCTGCTAGCAAAACTTTGCCACACAAACCCAATACAGTAGCCTATGAAAGCTAAATTGAAAAACATAATGGAAAAGTAAGTCACAAAGACTTGACAAAGAGCTGAAAGGCCTGCTTGAAATACTCGGTGGAGTTGGAGGCTAAGAGTCATGAATACAAGTGTGAGCTGTAGTTTGAATTTGGAGCCCCTTGATAACTTCTTGGTTATCATCACATTGCTACAAAATATAAACATTTTGTTTAGGAAAAAGAGTTGGCAGCAAATTGTTCAGTAAGGGGGAAAAAAGTTGGCTTTCCTTGTTTTACAGCTGTATTTTGCCTCAAAAACATCTTTCAATTTTGTGTCTGTGAAGTAGACACTTGCGTATCATTTATTCCTGACTATCACAAGGACCTATGATCAGATAATATACCAAGTACTTATGAGCAAACTATGTCAGTTACTAAATTGTGTACTATACTTGCCACAAATTAGCTGCTAAATAAAAGACGAATTGGCACACTAATTGTTAAATTTAGAAATATCTAAATACCACTCAGAATAATAATAAATATTATTGGTTGGAATATCAATCACTAAGTATTTTGTTTCCATCGTAATTTAAAAACAACAATGGAATTATAATTTTGAATGCCATGGGATAAAATCAACATGAAATAAAATATATCTGGCCCAGAATAGCTTTCATTTTTTTGGTAAAATTGTTGCTTAGTAAGAAATTGAAAAATTTTATCTTTTGAACTTAACAGGACTTTTCCTTGTGTGTATGCTTTAAATTGAGAGTTTCCTGTAAATGAAGATAATTATTTTCAACAAGAGATAAATTAGATTGTTTATATCAACAATAAAATAGTTGGTGAGTGTTTGAAAATCTTCAAAGTGGTAGAACTATGTTCCTATTTTATCTGCAGTGCAGGAAGTTATGGAAATGCATGGTTGCCTTTGGTGGTAATAACTATTACATTACTACCAGACCCGTGGAACATTTTGAAAATTTATAGGAAACCTTCATTAGCTGTCAGAAGATCTTTTAAATATTATGCATGTTCGTAGGTCCTTGTTTTACTGTAGTACCTGGGAGTTGTAGTCATATACTAAGAAGAAAATTTGTTTTACCTGCATAAACCGAAACCCAAAGATTAGACTTTGCATTAGCAGGTTAGAGCCTGGCTCTAGTTCATACACATAGTAACTGCGGTCACTCTAATGACTAATCCCTTATAATTAAGCAGATGTTTAGTTGCTTTGTTGATGTGCATTTTATTTCTGGAAAATTACTTATATATCCCCTCTATCCCTTTTTTCACTCAGGGGGTGGTGAGGCACTGGAACAGGTTGCCCAGAGAAGCTGTGGATGCCCCATCCCTGGAGGCATTCAGGACCAGGCTGAATGGGGCCCTGGGCAGCTGCTCTAGGGGTTGGCAACCCTGCCCACAGCAGGGGGGTTGAAACTAGATGATCTTTAAGGTCGCTTTCAACCCAGGCCATTCTATGATTCTATGTTTAAAATAAAAATAAAAATAAAAATAAAAGGATGGTATCTAGCTTTCAGGCTTGTGGGTCTGGAATAAACCTGGTTAAGCTGTGGGATGTGCAGGGTGGGTGGCAGCAAGCAAGCAAACTGGCCTTTTTTGGTCCTAAAATAATTTCTCAGTCTCAGTGCTTTTAAGTTGCAGTACAATATCTGGCCACTTGGCAGGGAGGAACTGCTTGTGTATGCCTTTTCTCAACAACCAAGCAACGAATTTGCCTGTTTTCTTTTTATTTAATGTGTTTAGATGCAACTAAACTGTTATAAAACAGGGGTTTTAAATTAAAAGACAGGTATAAAAGCTCGATTTCTTTCTCATCTCCACACCAGAGTCTGTATTTTTAATTTAAGGGAAGTACTCATTTTGCCTTTTTAGAGCAGCTGCTTGGGAGACCAGATCTTCTAAATTATATTATTTGCTCCTGATGCTCACTTGGGGTGTGTTACTTAATATTCTGTTTACAAAGCACTCTGCCGAGCATTTGACAAAAAGCAGTGATTACACACAGGAAGTGCTGTTTTTTCAGTTTTTTTATATGTTAATTCTCACTTGAAATTTTCATGAAGTTCCTTCATGTGGAATGTGAGGTGTAGAACGTTTGCTGCAATAAAACTTAAGACTGCTATAGAATAAGTGACTTCAGTGTGAGCATGTGGAGTATATGTATCTTCTTCATCAGAGAAATAAAATTAAGAAAAAAATAAGGTTTAAGTTGTTTCCACAAGTGAATTTATCTGCAATTCTGATGTTTATCATTAAAAATGTGTAATATGTAAGTTTTTTGAGGAACAATCCCCCAAAAATTGAAACAGGTCAATTTGTTGAAAGTCTAGTTATTACACATAGGTTTTATTTTTTCAGACCATTGTTTTAAAATATTCTTATAATGCTCTGTGTTGTAAAAAAGTGGTGGTCAAATGCTGAGGAGCAGGTTCCTCAATAATATTTGGTTAGTAGGATTTCTGGGATGTTTTTTTGTTTTCTTTTTATATCTGTATGATGTGTAAAATATGCCACATTGTGATGACAGCTACTTTTGTTTAATTTTGTAGGGTTGATCTAAGGACCATTTCATCCTGCAAGAATCAGCTTGCAAGATCTGCATAGACTTGTTCCTAAGGGAAAACATGTCTGAGATTGACTATGAGAAGTTAGCTGAAATACGTAAATATTTTTTATTATACTTCAAATGGCATCTGTGTAGAGTTGCAGGTGATTTAATAGAGCATCTTCAGTAAGTGAGAGACTTCACCAACATTTTGTAATACTTCTTGGAGCAATCCAGTATGAGTTACAGCCTCTGTACTGATGTGTACCCTATTAAAGCCATTAGGGTTGAAGTTTAGTTCAATACATGCAGCTTTTATGAATTATTGTTAGATGTTCCTAATGCAATTCTAGGCTATTGGAATATCACCATCATCATGTATTGTGGCACAAATGGGAGTCATTACTCCAGAGAGACAAGTATTGAATAGGCATGGAGATTGCTGTATTGCCTGTTATCTCCGATCTTAGTTGAGCTGAGCAATATGACCATGGCATTAGGGACCTCATTATTTTGAAAGATCAACGTTATTTTTTTGGGGGGATGCCAGGATGAACCTCGGAGCAAGAGTCTTCCTGAGCTTCCCCACCCTCCACCTCAGTCTCCTTTTCCCTGTCCCTCACCTTAGCTGTGATTTCTCCTTGTTATGACTTTCAGCAGCAACAGGCTGGCTTTTTACTCCTAAGGCCTGATTCAGAATCCACTGAAAGCAATTTTCCCCTCAGCCTTGCCAAGCTCTAGATCAGGCCCTTCACGTGGTCTCCTAGCCTGGGCTGAACAGTATGAGTAGTAACAGATGACCTCTGCTATGGCTCATGGAGCAGGGCAATAAACTCCTCTGTCATTTGCAGGGGAAAAATGGAGCTGCGGTCTCCCTCAGTTTGGAACAATGAACCTTCTTTTTATTTGTGTTTATTACGAAGCATCTCTTGAGCTTCAGTCCACTTGTTCACACAGTTGAAAAAAAAAGGAAAAGAAAAAGAGTATACAAATAATTATCTTAATATGTTAGGATTAACTAGCTTTTCAGTACATATTGGGACTTCTTTAGTCACTGTAACTGCATTACAAATAGGCATGTGTATTATTTTACTTCTCTTGTTCTTTGCTATATCTCAAAGCCAGATACCTTGATATCTATACTTTGTTTACAAATTCTTACCCCTGCTTTTTGGAAATGTGTCTGTTTTTATGCATAATACAAAATAATTTTTTGCAGGAGTTGGCCTCTGCCTCACTGTACCAAAGGCTGCAGTTAACATACTGATTGTTCCTGTTGTGTTTAGTTTGAATATACCTTTTACTTTTAATAAAGCCTGTTAAGTTTCAGTGGATTCTGGTAAATGGTTCACAGCTCCTGCTTCACATCCCCACAGACTAGCACTTTCTTCTTCTCTCTCCCCTTTGCAACTTCCTGTTACTTTAGGTGGTTATGGTGTTCAGACATGAAAAAAAAACCCTACTAAACAAAATAGTGTTTTCCTTGTTATGAGCTTTAATGTGACTTAAATATATAAAAAAGAGGAAAAAAATGTGAAATGTGTACATTGTGTTTATATTATTCCCCCTGGCTCTTGGCACAAAAACATTCTTTAAAGTGAAAGAATATTTTTCCAGTTAACGTTAGTGTAGCTTTTTACATATGTTACATTTTAAAAGGCTAGAAAAATACACATTTCGGAGAAGATAATAAGAATTCTAACTTTTTTGTATGTGTGAGGAAGACTCTAATTATGTATTTCTAAATGTAGATGTATCTTTTTTTTTTTCCTATAGGACTGCTGATTTATTTTCTGAGGAGGCTTTAATGTGAATTCAGACATAAAGAAATGTGAAAGTAGTACACATGTTCCTGGCTTCTCTTTGTCTTTGAGAAGCTCAGCCAGTAGTGGCATTTTTCATCCTTGTGAAATGCATTTTTGGTACAAATCATGTTAAAAATAAAAATGAGACAATAAAGCTTTCATGTGGCTCTTTATAGGATAGAAAGATACTGGGAAACTGTGAGTGGAAAGCATTCCAAAATACTATAGTAAGAGTTTTTCTCTAACACTTATTAGCTACTGGCATATAAATCTGGCTGAAACCAATATTTTCTCTCTGCCCTAATGTGTCTTGTGTGGTGGTCAAGGCATATGGAATACACAGATAATCAGAAGGCAAAATATTCTTAAAGTACTTTTTAAAGTGGCACTAATAGTGTTATAGATAAAACTGCTAATTTCATTGTATTAAATCTTGCATGCTAAAAGAGATGGCTGATGTCCAGGGGGTGGTTATCAGAACATTAATTTTTCTCTTTACATGTACCTTTTCTTGTCTTAAAGCACCAAGACACTTGGGTGTTAATGTGTCAATATAACGTTATTCCAGTCAGTTTCTAGAAAACTACTCATTTGATTAGTGGAGAAACGTTTGTGACAGTAATTATCCCAGAATCTGTGTTCATTTGGATATGTACTTAGGATCAGCTCTTTTTGAACCTTACAATGGTTTGGGAAAAAAAAAAACTTGGGGGGGACACCACACACCAAAAAACCAAAACCAAAAAACCTAGAAAAAACTGGAACAAGATGAATTGGCCTTGTATGGGTAATTTCAGTGCAGAGTAGATTTTAACTTGAAGATACAGTCCAGAACATAGTGAAGTTGGGGGAGGGATGCTCATTGATCCTGCCGTGCTTTTGAATGGAGTTTTCCACCTTTGCTTGGCCTCTGGCTGGAATATATGCTAGATGAACATTCGGCTGCCTTGCCTATTGTAACTTCAGAAGGTTAAAGGATTTCAAGGAAACAGTGGATCTCAGGGGAGGCAAGATGGAGATTTGTTTGCACTTTGCTAGCTTTGTGCAAAGTAATGAGTCTGCTCTCAGAGAGCGTTCACATGGGATGTTAATGTGGAGTAGCTGTCAATGCACACTTTAAGCATAGGGAAACTTTGACTTTCCTATTTCGACAACCTTGAAGTAAAAGGCAAGAAGCTGTAGATGGATGCAGCAAACAGATTGTGGGAGTGTTGGAAATGATGAGACAACTCTAGCAGTTGTGAATAGCAAGGTCACAGCATGCCAGCTGTCCAGTCACTGTCAAGATTTTTGTGAGCTTCACAGTAGATATTAATCTTAAGGAGGATGAGAAGGTAGCTTTGAGGTGTTAAAGGGTTGCTTTTCCTACACATGAGAAAGGGTAAAGAACAATAAACTGATTTGAAACTGCTACAAATAGTGACAAAGGCCTGTGTTTTTGTCAAACTGAGCTAAAATTCAACCCTTCAATAATGTATCAGATGCAAAAGTTTTTCTTTGTTCATTAACACTTAAGCGTTCTTGCTTGCTCCTTTAGAACTGCAGAAAGATGAAGCAGAAGATACACAGTCAGAACAGGAAGAAGCATTTATGCCTCCACCACTTGAGGATCCTGAGCTAAATATCAATCACCCCTACTACGATGTTGCGAGACATGGCATCATCCAGTTAGCAGGTATGTTTGGAAAAAGACTACAGCTTTACTTTACTGAACCCTTAACACATTTTTCTTACTGAACTCCTCAAGATGATGCATAGGAATAATTTTTATGCTTTCAGCCTTCATACTGAAAGCTGAATAGGAATATGTGAACTCAGTGCTTTTCTACCGATTACTTATGAGCCAAGTATTTGAGCTTAATCTTGCTTTAAAATATAACTATAGCAAGGTATTGTAATCCAAAACCTAACCATGGCTGTAACAGATCTGTACTTTATTTGTGATAAGCTGTTTTGTTTTCTGAATAACCTGAACTGTTGTGTAGCCACATGTAATAATTTTTCTAGTCTGCCCTGGAAAGGTTGCGCAACTGAAGAGATATGGGTTACTGTATAAAAACTAATAAAAGGCAGAGAGGAGACTGTTGACGTAAATGTTAACTGCATTTATCACCTGGCTTTCTGTTGTGACATGGGGAGAAGCTATGGGTACATGGCATATTTGAATATTGGATCATTCACTGTTTGTTGTTATTTATTTTTTAAATATTCTGGCAATATATAAGACATGCAGGTACATTTATGATATAAAAGTACCTCCTTAAAGTATGCATTGCATATTTTTTTCCTTTTGGCTTATTTTTGTCATCAATGTGCTTGTTAAAATAGCATTAATTATCACAACCCTGAACTAAATAAATGTATACAATAAGAAACAAATAGCAGTATTTAACACTGTTCATACTAATGAAGTCTAAGATTGCGCTGTATTCTGCACAGTTTTTGTACTTCATATTTGGTGAGCCTAGACTATGATTTTTCAGGAAAATTATGAACTCAGGTTATACCTTTCTGGATTTGAGCCATAAACAGAATGTCAGCCAGGTGAATATGAACTTTAACAAAACCTGTCCTCTAGTGAGGTGTAATAGACCAGAGTAGTGAAATCCGTGGTAATTTGACTGTAAGGGGAGGAGAATTTTACCCATGGTAACTTCTATTCTTGAAGCTAGTTATTATACACAGGACAATAACTACATTTTATGATCTTCAAAACTAACCCTGCAATATAAGAATCAAATCCCTAAGCAAGGGAATAACAGATTCACATTCTTGCGATTCAAAAAGCTACTATATGCTAACCTACTAGGATATTTCTCACTCCAGCACCAGTTTTGGGATGGGGAAAATACTAAGATATAAAAGTTATTAATGAAACCATTGAAATCAAACTGACAAAGTGTGAAATAGATGTGTTAACAGACACATTGGAGACACCAGAGTCACTATAACGGTCTACCTAACAACTTTTTCCATCTGCTGTATTAGGCAGTGTTGCATGATAATGCTTCAAAAGAGAACTTCAAGACTTTTTTTCTCCCGTTAGTATACTCAACATCCAATTGTGATGGGCCACCTATTTACTGCTTCTACTGTAATCATGCACGACTATTTAGTAAATGTTTGTTGTTGCTCGTCATTTTTCATTCACACAAAGCTGCCCTGGGAGCCATAAGCACTTCGTGTTTGTCTGTTTTAGCTGGTGTTAATTCTAAAAGATCCTTGTGTGTTTTTTTTTCCTTGGTGGAATCATAGTGATTTTTGCAGCTCTGGGCAGAGCTGCCAGAGGATGAGCTGTGAAACCACTGAGTCTGTGCTTAGACAAAGCTCCTCCTCTCCATCCCTCCATACTGGGGAGAGAAAGGGGCAAGTTGGCAATCTTAGTAGGTTCTGCTTGATTGACCCATAAGACATTCCCTGTTACTTTAAAAAAGTGAATATGTAAAAGTTTACTTACTCAGAGGCAAACAAAAACTGTAAGTTCCATAGTCTCAGACAGATAGTAATTTGAATCAAAATATGTAAAATTATGGGAGAACTCAAAAAATAAGGAAATTTTGGAATGAGAAGATGAAAAAATACTGGAACAGGTACTCTTAAAAATTCATGCTTTTACTGCTGGTGAAAAGGAGAACATGTGGTGGAGACTGGGTGATAACCAGCCTGCCTCTAACAGAGCAGTCCCACCTGGCTTCATCTTATGCCTATTCCTTCATCTTATTCCTGTATTAGAGAATGGAAATGTGCTTCAGTATAGTCTGGAGTGAAAACCACTGTAGTTTTTAAAGAGACCTACCAGTAGCTTCCATAGTTTCATCTTGGAACTGCTCTGTATCAGTGTTTGCTTGGAATAAAGTCTAAACATTAGGTATACTCCTGGTTTAAATTCACTGGAGCAAATGGAGCTATCGACAAGAGGAATCTTGGCTGAAATGATGGTATTATCTGAGCTGGTTTTGTCCTTAGTATTTTGGTCCTTTGTAGGGAAATCCCCTAGCCATTGTTTAAGCTTAGAAAAGAGTGACTTCAGCTGTCATTTCAGTCAGAAATATATGATGGGGTTTTGCAAGTCTACTGGAGAATTTAAATGCGAAGCACAAGCCAGGAGCTGTGCTTCAGAAGGCAGTCTGCACCCCTAAAGCAGCTCTGACCGTGGGATGTAAGAGGAGAACACAGAGGTGGGTGTATGAATGCAGAACACCGGGAAGGTGAAATATGGTCTGAAGACATGTCTCACCTCCGCAAAAAGAGACCCCTCCATCCCCAGTGTTAACTGGTGTGGAGTCAGATTTAATTTTTTCTGGATTTAGATTCAAGTGAGGAAAGGACGAGCTCCTCAGGTCTCCTTCCCATCTTGGAAAAGACCAGTTCCTTTTGAAACAAATAATTTTAAAATGAATTGGACTTAGTTTATAATAGTTTTAATAATCTCTTTGAATAAAATGAAGTGTAATTTCCGTGTTTGAAATGACTGTTTTAGAGCAATTCTGAAAGCTGTTCCTTCAGTTTTAATTCAGTGACTGAAAGACAATGAGATATATTGTTTGAAATTATTGAAGAAAAAGAAAGAATTTAGGTAAAAATATTTGCAGTAGTTTAGCCATCCCTCACAGTGATCTAGTTTCCAACAGTTAATTTAAAAAAAAAAAAAAAAGCTAAACTTCCTTCTTACTTCTCACAAATTGAAATGACTTATACCTGCTTTCCATAACAATAGCTTTGACTATACGGAAAGATTTTTTTGAGTTGTATTCATACAGTGTGAAAATACAATTAATTAAATAAGAATAGAGGACATTATAAAAATTATGTACACTTGAATAGTTGTTTATTAATTACAGACTGATTTATGTCACTAATACTAATGTGCAGCTGACTACACATGTGTAAATGGCACAGTGCTGCAGTGCTAGCTCTTTTTATTTCTATTTTGAAGGAGAAATTTCAGTCTTTTGCCTAAAAAGAAGCTCAAGATTATTTTCTTTGTGGAAAAAAGGAAGGGACATAAAAGCATATATGATGCATGAAGCTTCCTTATTTTCTATAGTTGCTGACAACTTTTTGCAGTACCTTTTTTTTGAATATGTGCTCATTTAGTAGGACTCTGTCTCTGATGCTTGTGTTTTCATTAACTATCAGCGACATCCTTTTATGTGTTAGACAAAACTTTTTAATGGAATAAAGTCCATTGTTGTTTTAAATATATATTTCCCTTCTTAGGCTTTTCTTGCTTTTCTAGTTATATTTAAAGATTTTGGGTATCCAGCCTGGGTCTTTGTAGAGGCTGTCCATGTTTTGCTTCAAGATCCAGTTGATTTCATGCCCCTTTCTGGTTTTGAACCACTGCATTAGAAACTGATTATAATAGTGTTGTGTACATCAGACTGTGAAAGGTAAAGTTGTAATTTAGTTTTTGTAACATGTAAGGAGAAACTAAAGTGAATTACCTAATAAGCCTAAGGCACAAGTCCTAGTAATTTTCAATCCATCCCAGTGACAGTTTTGCTACTTTTTGCAATACCTTCAGGAGCAGATCTGTGGTCTGTGCATTGCAGTGCCACAGGAAATAACTGGGTTTAAAGATTACTTTTTTCTTAAAGGGTTTACTTTGTTCAATTTTTATTTGAAAAGGATATTCCTGAAATCAGTATCTCTGACATTATTTCGTAAGTACCCTTTTGGGGAAAACAACAAATCAACTGGAGAGACCTAAGACTTGGGCACTTTTCGAGAAGTAAGTTGAAGGCTTTGATTCATAACCGATTTGCAGCACAAGAGCAGATTTTAATGTGGGCTTTTCACTTTACAAAGTGTGTCCTAACCATTTGTATGTTGTCATGTTTTTCTCTTTCTTCTTTCTATGAGAGGAGCTCCAAAATAAAGGTTGATATCAATGAAAAGTATTTCCTGCTCGAGTGAAGAGGGAACTTGCCTGAGTCATAGAAACATGGGTTCAAATCCTTTAGGCAGGAATTGAACCTGGATTTTCCAAATTCTGCACCAATTTTCCTCTTGCTTCTTTCTCCAGCTATTTTATTCTCAGAATGTGAAAGTAAATAAATCCTTATTTACTGCATTCCTCACTTTCAACATCAGACTGTAAATTACAGCGTCATTTTTAAAGACAAAGCTGAGTTAATTTTATCAAAATATATGGACGTGCTTTCATGCTGAATCTGAGAAAATATAACATGTCTGCTTTAAACATAATTTAGTAGAGCAACGGGCTTGCTAAAATAAATGACGGCTCAAAGTGCCAAATTCAAATGTGACTGTGAACTCAATTGTAGGTTTAGGTATCCTGACAATATACCACAAGTCATTCTACACCCGAATATATCTTATTAAAAAGAAAAGCCCAGCACTATTTCCTCTTTGCCAAGTAAATGTAAATTACATTCCCTTTCTGTTTGCCTATTCTACTGTTTCTTTGCTTTCCTTAAATTTTCTTTTATGCTTTCTGTGCATTATCAAAATAATTAGTTTTGCATCACTAGAAGCATTTTTTATTTTCAGTGCCTCTTTTAAGACTAGAGCGTTGTTCTAGTCCAGAGAGTCAGGCAGATAGAACTGTACTGACATTAGGTTAGCTTCAGAAATGGCTTTAGGTCACCCTTATTTCAGCTTATTTTACATACTTCGAGGAGCACAGGTGAAATGTAAATAATTAACTAC